CCACCCCGAGAGCGTCGTAGCCCTAGTTCCTTGCACCTTGCTTGCCCCGCCCTTGTCTCTACTCATTGGAGTTCGAACTCAGCCCTGGCAATCTACTCTCCCACCCGTCTCTATGCAAGTGCTGTCGGTCTTGGCTTCCTTGGATCGCTTCGATCTTTTAGGGTGCGTGAAAACGCTAGCAAGGTTTGCGCAGCATGTCATTCGTCATGTCTTCTGCTCTCCTTTGCAGCATGCAGGGGGCACTTTTAGGAGTCCCTCCCACTCCAGCAGAGAGAAGCCAAAGGGAACCAGAACAGTAAAGTCCCTGCTCGCTTTGGAGACTCAGACCCTTGATAGAATACAGGCTGTGACATTCTGCTCAGTGTCAAGAGAAGCCCATGTGTGGATCTTGGCTGGTGGCCCCTCATTCCGAACAAGAAAGACTCAGACCGAGGTGGGGGCACCAGAGTAGTGCCTCTCTGTTTTTCCATCCTTGTAACTCTAAGCATATTGTGTCTTCGAGCCCAGGATGAGGTGGGGAGCCATGGCCACATGTTGTGCCCTCTAGCCAGCAGGATGCTTTGGAGGCCATCCCACCACCTCCCTGGGAAAGGTTCTTTTGCTGTGAGATGGGGACTGTTGTACTGCATACTCAGAGCGTGCGGGCGTGGGGTTAGGGGACAGCCCACCTGTGAAAGAGCTGCCTAAACTTCTAGGGAAGGGACAGGTACTGGTTCTGGGCACTGCTGAGGCCAACCTAAACATGCTACAGTGCTACTTAGAAGTGACCAATGAGGACCCAAGGTATTTTGCCAATGGTTGAAGATCATGTCTACCAAACCATCAGGCTATGTGGCCAGTCTTCTGCCACTGGGGCCTGGATGAGAGTCCGTGTCCTAATCTGTTAAAGAGGGTACTATAGACTCCTCAGAAGGTTAATGCATGTAGGAAATAAGGGACCAGGGCTCGGCAGAGGCATTTTCCACAGCAGACTCAGGGGTCAGATTCCAGCCTTTTGCAGAGGGTAAAACCAGAGCAAGAATTAGATTACCCCTTACAGCATTCCAGGTGGGGGAACAGAGGCTAGCCCCTGTATACTAGTGTTGGATGCTGCCTCCTGGACCTGACCCTGGCAACTACCTCAAATTGAGAGGCTTTGGTCTCACCTGATCTTTTGCTGGTGGCCCCCACATAGTGCATACTTCTAGAATATAGCTCTGCACCCTTTTAGAAGACCCTGGAAGCGTAGAGCAGGGGGTAGAAAGCAGCATACCCATTCATCCTTCTTATGTACTTGTAGTGGTCCAGTGGGGGCTTTGGGAGCCTAGGGCAGGGAAAACATTGAGCACTGGACTAGCTTTATAAAGATAGATGCTTGGGCTAGAGCTATGGCAAGAGCAGGATAGCCAGGTATCAGGAGAAGTGAGTTCCAAGGTGGCCACAAAAAAATATGGGGTCTGTCTAGGACCTCGGAAAGGCCAACTTGTCCACACTAGCATCTACCAGACATGCAAGGATACTAGGGACAGTCACAACTGCCTAATGACCTTTGAGTACGGTTGAGGAGGTCGGCTTCAGGACCAGCAGAGAAATTTAAGGTTAGCTTTCACACCCGAGAAAGGCTGAGTGTTAAGTATTGTATTATCTGAGATAGGCATGGGCTCACAGACAAGACGAGCTGTGTTGCTGGGAATCATTGGATAATGATAACTTTGAGTAGTCCAGCTAGAGAAAGTAAGAACAAGCTTATGAAATCAGTCTACAAGGCCTAGTACAGGGTAGAGCCTGTTACATCTGTGGAATCACAGGGACACCAATTCCCTAATGTCTTGCCGCCACTCCTCCCCACTGCAAGCTGGCTTTCCACCAGCCTTCCCAATACCCTGGTGTGGGCTGGGGGGGGTGTCTTGCTCCTATCAGGATTTTCAGCTGCCCAGGGTCTGGGCTTTGGAGATGGCACCAGTCCTGGCAGGCTCCTTTCTGTGCCCTGCCTTCATGCTTCCACAACTCACTGATTCTCATACTGTGGCAGCTGGGTGGGTTTCTGCGCTATGTTTCTCTGGGGTCTGTGTATCCCATTCCCCACTTTAATATTCCAGATGGCACCTGGGTTAATTATAACTAGCCAGGCCTGCCAACTTGTCTTTTAGCTGAAGAGAAATGATGTAAATGAACAGAAAAGATTCTCCACCCCCCCCATACAAACTTTGGTTTTTTTATTTTTCTCCTTGATCTAAAAATGAATCTTGGTCCTGCTGCTTAGGGGCAGTATCTGGAGACAGATGCTGGGAAACAAAATCTGAGCTCCCAAGGGTCCCGGCTTTGTCGAGTACTTGGGCATTAGACTTGTTATCTGGACCTCAATTCCTTACCAAGGAAGGGGAGCTAGATAGAGGCAAGGGGAGTGCCTCTAACATTATAACTTTTCCGACATGTCTTTTTCCTTCCCCAGCCTCTATCTGTCTCAATTCAGACGATAGTCCCAGGCAGCAGGGACACCCTCACCCCCCCCCCCACCCAGGGTTTCCGGACAAACGTAGACACAGGTGCAAGTCAGGGCAGCATCAAGTCCCAGTTAGAGGATGGGATGCACAGCTTCTACTGGCATTTAATACCCATTTCAGTGCTGAGGGAACCAGGCTCTGAGATTAGGGAATAGGTCCAAGTCACACAGCTGGGAAAAGACACACTCAATTTGGAAGTCTGGCTGGGAAACAAACAAACAAACAAACAAACAAATAAAAACCCCTATAAAACAAAAAACCCAATTCATTTGAAGCAGGAAGGAGGAAAGTGGCTTCCCTGAGCTGTCCTGAGATCTTTGAGCATGAATGGGCAGAGCTAGTTGCTATACTCAGGCACCCCAGGGAGAAGCCAGATAAGAGCATCAGGGAACACGCAGAAGCAGTGTGAACTGCCCAGATCCCTGCCCCACCTCTCCACTCCATTGCCACAGTCACCTGCCATCTGACATCCTCAGGGACCGGGGAAGGAAAGCCGGGGTGATGCCCGCAAAGAGGAAATTCCCTGGTGCTAATTGGCACTGAGAGACCTTTAGGCTAATTAACCTGTTCATTTGCCTCTCTAGAGTAAATTAGAGGGTTTAACTGGGGAGACAGAAAGAGAGATGTTTGCTGGTGGCCACCTCCTCAGGGGCAACGGGAGGCTTTGTAGTGGGCACAGTGGGCTGCTGGAGAGGCTTGGCAGAGGGGCTGGCTGCCAGGCGGTAGTCACAGGTGGCCCTTGTGTGGCAGGGAAGAGAGCTCCCTTTTGTTCCCTTTTCATTGCATTGAATTGGGAAGGCTTCTCTGACAGCCTGGAGCTTTCTGGGTGCTGCCTGTGCCTGGTCCTGGGTTCTCCAGAAGTAGAGAGGTCAGTCCTGTTTATTGGGGTGTCTTCTCGCTGTGCTGCTAGCCTCTGTGCCCTATGGTTTGGAATAAGATGCCCATCCCCGCAGGGTCATGGAACTGAGCATTCGGTGCCCAGCTGGTGGCACTGTTTTGGAGACATTGTGGTACGTTTTTTGGGGTGGAGCCTAGCTGGACAAAGCCGGGGTATGCCTTAAAGTTTATAGCCCCCCCCACACCATTTCTGTCCAATGTGTGCTTCCATTTCTGCAGAAATGTGAGTTGCTAAAGGTTCCCAGCTTTGTGCTTCCATGGCTGTGACCCACCTGTGGCCATGTCTTCCCTGCCATGATGGGTTGTTCCTGCAGGGCTCATGTCACCTGTGTGTTTAGTCACAGCAGTGAGAAAGGAAACTAGTGCAGCCCTGCCCTTGCATGGCCCCAGGGATTCCCAAAACCCCTTGGCCAGATCCTGTCATTTTTAGATGGTAACACAGATCTTTAGGGGATAGCAGACACTGTTTTACACCCCACATTTTCTATCTCAGGCTCTACTCCCGGCATAGTTTGGATGTGAAAGGAAGCCTGATGTGTCCCCTGTTACTCTGGAGGGAATTTGGCTGGTTTTCTTTTACCTGTGACAAGATAACTGGAGAAAAACCAATGTAAAGGCGGGAAGGTTTACTTTGGCCCACAGTTTCCTAGGCTTCAGCCCATGTGGCTTCATTGTAGAGCATCCCGAAGTAGCAGGGGTAGATATAGCAGAGCTGCCCGTTTTATGGGTAGGCCTGGGCAAGGTGAGACCGAGAAAGGGAAGAGGGGAAGAGACAGAAAGAGGGAGAAGGGGAGGGGAAGAAGTGGTTGACAGCAAGGCATAGTTTTCAGAGGCACAGCTTTAGTTTTTGTAATTCTAGATAAGCAGAAAGAAGCCATGCACAGAGCTTGGGTGGAGGGTTTTTTTTTTTATTGGGGGAAAGTGAATGGGTAAAGGGGGGGAGGGGAGAGGGGAGCCTGGCCCCTGGGGACAGGAGTGGCAGAAGAGAAAAGAGAGGCAGAGAGAGGGGGAAGGGAGAAGACACACAGGCCGAGAAGGAGGGAGAGAGAGAGAGGGGGAGAGAGAGAAATGGGAGGTGGGCAGGGCCCCTTTAAAAGGGAACATAGTGAATGTGCACATTAGTGGCTGCAGATGAGGGTGTATCCTGTCAGAACCCCAAGGACAGGCCAGCACAGATGCCTGAATACTGACATTAAAGACCCACTTCTAATAGGCCCCATGCCCTATGAACTAATCATGTACTAGACTATTGATGGGGCTAATTAACAAGGTAAATGCCACTGTGAGCCAATCACCTTTCAACTGAGGCACTTGCTGGGGACCAAGTCTTTAACCTATGGGTCTTCAGAGATAGTTTATGTCCAAACCATAATAGTATGGAAGAGAGAGGCTCTCTCTGTGTAAGCCTTGACCTGCAGCAGTGAGCTCCAACTTCTCAGGCTGCAATGCACCTGTCTATGTTTGATGCCTCCAAGGCACAGGTAACCACTTCCAGGGTCTCACATCTCCAGACGTACTGCACCTGTGAACTCCTGCCCACTCTTTGGATCAGTCCCCTCACCTGGGCAGGCCAATCAGCACTGGGGAGAGGACCCTTTGATGCCCTTTTCTGTTCTTCAGGGGCCCGGGGCATCGTCAATAGTGGCCTGATCCCCTCGCTGGTATGGAAGCTGCAGTCAGAGGAGGAACACATTCAGGAGATCATCTTGGACACTCTGGCACCATGCCTGCAGGAGGATGCCACCGAGGCTCTTGACAGCCAGGCTGTGCCCCGTTTAAAAGAGAAGCTCCAGAATGAGAACCCCCAAATCCGCAGTAAGGCTGCTCGGGCACTCATTGCCATCAGGTGAGGTCTGTTTTATGTTGACAGAGTGGTCACCTCCTTGAATTTTTGCTGAGGGCCAGAGAAGACCACCAAACTACTCCTGGCCTATCAGTGGGGCTTCACCTAGCTGCATCTGCCAGTGAACCTAAGTGCATCCATTCAGGCATACTTCCTCTAACTAACTTCCTTGTGCCCTGGGGGAAGAGGGCACTATGTCAGAAGAGTACCTTTTCCAATAGTGTAACCATAGTACCTGGCCTGAGATTGTCCTGTATCTCAGGAAACTCTCTCTCACTCCCATCCTGGATAAACCTAGCTAATTGGTCACTTCTCCATGAAGAAGACAAGTAGGTGAACTCCAGTGATAATGTTGATAGCCAGTGGTCACTAAGTATGCAAACATGCCAGGCACTGCTTATAAAGTCAACTGTGGTTAGACAACGGCCGAGGAAGGAGATATCTGCCTTTAGAGATGAGAGAATAGAAGCATGAGCTCCAGTCACTTGCTCAAGTTCACACAGGGTCTGTCTAAATCCTGTCCTGAAAATGGGGGGAGGCTCCACAGAACCTCCCAACAGTCAGTCCTGTGTCCCCAGAGGCCCCTTTGCCTGTGCCTCAGTTTGAGAGGGAGAGAAGGCCTTGCCATCCCTTAAGTCCTGTCTTTCCTTCTATCTGGGAGTCTTGCCAGAGGGCAAGGCTAGTATTTCTGGTAGGCCTGACCCAGCCCCTGAGATGCCAGCTTGGAATGTTCATTGTTCGCATATTCTCAGAGCCACCCAAAACTGTCTCTATCAGGTCTTTGACCAGAGGTCCCCATCCAATGAAGCTCTGGCAACAGAACTATATCAAAGCACAGCTTTTGCCCAGCTCCTCTGGTATCCCCCATCAGCCTGTGTTCATTACCACTCCTCACTATTTTGTGTCATCCACATAGTGGACGTCTTCCGTTTGCTGCTCTAGACTAAGGGCTAGATTTTGTACTCCCAATGTCAAGTGCTGAGGCAGATAAACTCAGCTCTTACCTCTGTGTCTGGACTAGTACCTACCTTGTGTCATTGAGCTCAGGGCAGTCCTGTAGGAGGATCCAGGACTCTTTATCCTTCCCCAGGGTGAAGATTAATGGCCTAAAAAGCCAACAGCATCACAGTATCACAGAGAAGTGGCCACTGGATCTGTTTCCCAAACAGTGTTCCCATAAACTACCTATGCCTTTGAGGTTTTCAAAGTTCTGCAAAATGGTAGTGCAAGCAAATGGTCATGTTGAAGTCTCTGTGTTGGGATGTTTATGTACTGTGTGTGGCATTACCACCTGTGAGGAGGGCTTCCTAGCCAGGAAACGCCAATCCTGTCATGGTTGAGAAACTCTTGGGAAGTTCACCACCCTCATTTTCACAACTTCATACAATGCTGGAACAGGGAGTGAGCCGAAAGTTACCTTGTCTGGGCCCATGCCTGCGGTTGCTAGGTGCTAAGCAGCTCTCTGATGTGTGGAGCGGCTTGGCTCCTCCCTGATAAAGCAACCAACTCAGGTAGAGACAGACAGTCTTGCTGTGGGTCACACCCCTGTGTCTTAGTCTTCTGCATAGATGGACATGTCTTCATTTATGAGCATGGCTTAGAGTGAAACTCATTTCCCCTGGGTCTCGTTATCCCTTTCACTGGCAGCCAAGCCACACTGCCAGCAGAGGTCCTGTGTCTTAGCGTGTGTCCTGGGACATTCCCAGGCCTTACCTTCCTTTATCCTTTCTCTGCCTTAGCATCCCTTTGGAGGGCAAGAACCAGGTATGGCAGAATGATGTCATTCCTATCCTGGTGGAACTTTTGTCAGACTCCGAGGAGGAGGTGCAGGCTAATGCAGCGGGGGCCCTAATGCATGCGGCAGTGACCACTGAAGGTAAGACAAGGGTGCCCTTTAGATTCCCAAGGTTGGGTGGATGCAGGCAGGAGGGGAGAGCAAGTCCCCTAGCTTGCCAGCATCCATAGTGAGCTTTCCAAATGCTTCCTTCTTATGCCAAAGGCCAGGTATTAACCTCCCAGACTCTATCAAAATCTACTTTTTGGCCTATCACTGAGGATCCTTTGAAGTCTGGTCCAAGATTTAGACCTCTCTCATCTTCTCGGACACAGCTACTCACATTAGGATGTTTGCCCCTCTGCACCAAGCCATTCCCTTGGTCTAAAGACCTTGCCTCAGACTAGGGTCTCTTTGATCCAGGATTTAGATTAGTTTGGTGTCTACAATTCTGTTATTCCTGGGTTGAAGCAGATCCTGGGGCCCTTGGCCTTATGTGTTTCTTTCTTTAAAAAATAATTTTATTTTTAGTGATGTGTAGGTGTGTGTGTGTGTGTGTGTGTGTGTGTGTGTGTGTTTTCAGTCATGTGCCTCTTCCCTTGGAGCTAGAATAACGAATAACAGGTGTTTGTGAGCTGCCTGATGTGGGTGCTGGGAACAGAACTCAGGTCCTTTGCAAGACTAGTACCACACTCTTAGCCCCTGAGCCATCTCTCCATCCCCCTTTTGTGTTTCTTGGTCATAATGGCTTCTATCAAGTTGTGGGATAGGGCACACAAGAATACAGTTGTTTTTTCTCCCCCCCCCTCCCCAGGTCGGGATTCCCAGCCAGCAGACTTCAAGGCTAAGCCATCCAACCACTGGCTGAGGGAAGAGACCCAGGGTAGACTCTACCTCTGACAGACTAGATGTGGCATTCTCCTGTCTTGTCCCTTATACCTTTTGAAAGCCTTCTGACCTTCCTGACTGGTCTGCACTCACCTACTCCAGCCCTTTGCATGATGCCCTCTTTGTTTCCTGATGGCTCTGTAGGTTTTGGATTTATAATCAATATGGCTCCCCATTGGACCCCAGTAGTAGATTTGAGACACACAGGGAGAGAGGTTGGGGCTTTCTCGGAGTCTATAGCATCTTTCCATCATTTAACCTCCCTGAGGGACTTCTGACTGCATGCGGAGCAGAGTACCCCATGTGTCTTCAGCCCAAGCTTATGTGGGATGACTTGGAAGGCCAGGGGCCTGTCAGGTCTTAGCCAGTGGCTAGAGACCCAGAGGAAAGGACCTAGGGATATGCCACTCTTTCCCAACTGGGTCTTTGAGTCCCTATCCTATATCAGGCCCTGAGATGAATAATGGAGCATTGAGGACTTAGCCTTGGGTGTCTACAGTTGTCAGAAAAGGCAGAATGATGGAAGATGTGGAGAAGCCAGCATCCAGGGGATGGGGCATAGGGCAGGTATCCAGCCTTCTCTTGAGAGTGGCTGGAGGACCCCACTGCTAAGCTGCACCATTGTACCTACTGTGCATGTTTTGTGCCAGGTGCAGAGCAGTTGCTCAGGAAATGTCTGCCACATGAACATATGATTGATTTTTTTTCTGTAAAAAATACCGTGTATTTCGTCTTATGAAGGCTGATTGCAGGATAGGGGTAGGGTGACATGGCCAGGCTGGTTAGGGAACTGAGCAGGCAGATGAAGAAACAGATAACCCAGGTTGGACTCAGTGCAACAATATTGTAGAGATGGAGGTGGGGGTGGGGGGAGTGGGGAGAAGGAGGCAGGCGCAGGTGGTATTGCTCTTAAGAGGTCCCAGGAAACAGGACATGGGGAGACAGCCCCTCGTGTGCAGATAATTGGAAAACCTAGTGTCTGTGGCCCACAGGGAAATACGCAGCCCTGGATGCAGATGCCATCAACCCACTCCTGGAATTGCTGTGTTCCACACCTACCACCAAGGTGTGCCTGAACGCCACCAAAGCCCTCACCATGCTGGCCGAGGCCCCTGAGGGCCGCAAGTTACTGCAGCCCCATATACCTACCTTTCGTCTCCTCCAGATGCATAAAAGTGAGGCCATACAACGAGCAGCCAAAGTAGCCATTAAAGTGATTGAGTGGAAGCCATGACTTCCTTTTGGAGCCAGACCGGAAAGGCTGTCTGTAGACCTGAATAAATGAGTTGAATCTCCTGTGCTGGCTTTCCAATGTCACTTCATGTTCCTGGAGCAATGTCACAGCTCTCACCTACCAAAGAAGAAACACTAGACCCAGAAGGGCCTGGTTCTGGGGAGCACAGATCTATCCCATGGTGTGGAGTGGGAAGAGGCAGCCCTGATACAAATACTTTCTGCTTGGATCCAAAGTTCTTATAGAAGACATATAGCAGAACTGAACTCTCTAGGGATAGGGGTGGGAGGTAGGGACTTGGACTTGGGGTTGGAAGGTATACGGTTGGAACAGGCACCAGCCAAACTGTATATGTTTGACTGGTCAGGACCTTGGGGGTATAGCTGATCATGGCTTTGACAAATACTTTCACCTATGCTTTTTCATACAGAGAGACCAAGGCACCCCAGATCTCTCTATATGCTCTAATCTAGTCCTGTCTGAATGGTCAGGTTACAGATGCCCTGCTTTACAAGTGAACTAGTGTGTCCAGCCTCCATTGGAGGAGTGACAAGAATAGAGTGCAATTTCAAGGCTGAGCCCCTGGTCCGGGACTAAGCTGGACCCTCATCTTTCCCCAAGAGCCTGTTAAAGCTCTTACCTCACCAGTGAGAAGTGATTTGGAGAGGACTGCTCAGAGTAAATATTATCAAAACCAGAATCCCAAGAGCCAGAGCAAGCCTTTCACCACTGTCCTTTAAAGGGCCCTCAGGGACCCTCATAGCTATCAAGAGAAACACAGAGAAGTGTGTGTCCTGGAATCAGAGGATCAGCTCAAGTCGTCCCTTTTGTACAGAGGGGACTGGCTACCGGACCCAAATGGCATTTCAGGTGCTATCCTTTCTCCAAAAAACAGACTGAATAGAAGGAAACTATTCTCCATCAGGAAAGCGGGGGCCCTAGGACTTCCATGGCCTCATGTTCTGATCCTGCCTTGATGCATGGCAAGCAGACCCTGATCCTGCCACAGGGTCCTGCCAAGGTCAGCAATACCCTGCTACCAAGACCCTGTGCTTTTGATCTCTGCTCCAGAACCCTCTTTGGTGACACGACACAATCCAATCTATGTCTCTGTGGGCCCTTCTCCCAGGTCCCTTTCTAACTGGGTATGACTTCTCGTTTTCTTGGCTTAAAACAGTGTCCCTAGCCCCAGTCTGTCTTAAGTGCTGACCCTTATGTCCAACAGAAAATCTATCCTTAGATGTCTCCAGGCAACAACAAACACCAGTTCTTCAGGAAATGTTTAAAAAAAAATACAGGAGCATTTTATTTTTTTAAACATGACTTTTTTTTTTTTTTAAATTGATTCTTTGGGAACTTCACAGCATGCACCTCAACCCATCCATTTCCCAGTTCTTCCATGCCCTCCCTCCTCCATTGTAGTCCCCCCCACCACAAAAAAAAAAGAAAAATCATTTTATTCCCCCGTCTTTCCCTCCTCTCCATCACATATTCTTTTGTCGAAGTGGCCTTGGGAGCCGTGGCGTGTCACACAGTATAACCTTTTGCTGAAACAGCTTTTCTTGCAGGAGTTCATTGCGATGAGGTGTTGGTCTGGTTCAAGGCCTCTGGCTTCTGGTACACTTTCAATACTGGACCCTCCCTGAAGCGTTGCTGTGGCCCCAAGTCATGGAGATCCTGCAGCTATAGTTCCACAGGACCGGTCTTTTCACTCGTTCTAGCAATCGTAGATGGGGTAGATGTTGGGGTGGGCCAACTCAAAGCCCTGGATCGCGGCTGAGTTGGTCAGTCCCAGCCTCTTCTGACTAGGGTCAGGGCCATCTCTCCTGTGCCTCCACCACTGGGGCGGGTTCTCCCAGGAGGGGCGTAGCCAGTGAGGGGCAGTGCTCAGGCTAGCTCTCCCATGGCCCCTGGTAGTAACATGGGCCTCGGACATCAACACAGACCCTGGCTGCTGTAGGGCCACAGGTCCAGATATGGCCCTTGGCAGCAGCAGGGGCCAGAGCATCACACAGCCCCAGGTGGCAGCCTAGGCCACCCATAGCAGCCTGTCCCTCACTGTGGTCACATCTTTGGTGCCACGTCTCTCCACAGTGCTGGAACCACTGTGTTTCTCCTTCTCACCTGTTTCTCCACGGCATCCTGCCTGCGTCACCCCACCTGTCTTCCTGCATGCCTGTTGGAAGGAGCATTTTTTAACTCCTGTGACAATACTTGTTACCAGTGACAATACTTGTTACCAGTCCTTACACCAGGAAGAAACCACAAGAAAACTATGGGTCAACATGCCTTCTGAATAGAGACATGAAAAATGCAGCAAACAGTAAGTGAAACAAATGTAACAACATAGTTAAAGTGTTACCTATCAGGACCAACATGGAAAACCAATCAAGGTACAAGAGTCAGAAAGATTATTTCACAAAACCCAATATCCACTTGTGGTTAAAAACAAAACAAGATCTGTTAGGGCTCCTCACTTAGGGATCTCAGAATACATAATAAAGAAATAAAGAAAAAATTCAACAGTTGGCATCACATTAATGACTACTTATTTCTTGAAATTAGGAATAAGACAAGAACCTATGTTTTTGCCACTCTGGTTCAGTGTTGTTCTGGAGATTAGGCAAGAGAAAAAATGGGGGGCATCCAGATTTTTTTAAATGAACAAACTTTTTTTATTTATCAATTATACCATCACTATAAGGAAACATACTATTATTAGAACTAACAAGTTCATCTTTGTGATGGCATCAATATACAATTAATTATATTTCTGTATGCCAACTGTGAATAGAAAAATGAAACTAAGAAATTTTTACTTACAGTACACCAAAGAATAAAGTGAGTTAGAATAAATATGTGTAGGCTAGATTTTTTTTTTAAAAATATAAGCTAGAGACATCTGGGAAGAGGAACCTCAATTAAGAAATGTTCTCACCAGACCCAGATCCAGATTCACCTATGGGGAGGAACCTTCTTTTATTTTTTTTATTGATTGATATGGGAAGATTCAGCTATGGAAGCAATTCTACCCTGATGCTGGTGATCCTAGACGACATAAGAAATCGGGCTAAGTGAGTCCTAATAAGAAAGTGGCACTCTTCTATGGCCCCTGATTGAGTTCCTGCCTGCAGGTTCCTGTGCTCAGTTCCTGCCACTTTTTTTTCCCTGGACAGGGACTGGAAGCTGCAAGCTGAAACAAACTGTTTCTTCCTGATTGCTTTGGTCATGGTGTTTTTATCATGGCAATAGAAACCCTAGGACAAGACCTAACAAAAGAAATGCAAGATCTAGGCACTGAAAATTTAGTTTGAAAGATCTTAAACACATAAATAAATGGAAAGACATTCTGTATTTGTAGAGTCTGGCAGTAACACCACACTCATGCAGCTCATGCTACGTGTTGGAAATGGAGCTCTTGTTTTCCCCAGGTCTGTTCTTTCTCCTGTGCAGCCTAGTCTAGAATGGATGTAGTTTTCGCATGTATTCTCATGACAGTCACCCTGGCGATGGGAGATGTCATTCTGTAAATATGTTTCTCTTATTGGTTAATGAATAAAGCACTGTTGGCCAATAGGAAAGCAAGATACGTGAGACTAGGAGACAAGGAAGATTCCGGAAGTAGTAGGGGGGAGATTCAAGATGTAAGACGGAGAGAGCAGAACGCCAGCCCCTCTCTCTGATGAGACCAAGTGGAAATACTTAGATTAATAGAAATGGGTTAATATTTAAGACAGAGATAGCCAATAAGCAATGATAATAACAGGCAACAGCTTTGTATCTAATACAGTGTCTCTGTGTGTTATTTGGGGCTGGTGTGGCTATGGGGACAAGACCGGCGGGAGAAAAACTACTCATAACACCCTGGACCCTCTGTGATGGTTGAAACTGATTGTCAACAGGGTCTAGAAACACCTAGGATGGTCATCTGGAGTAGGTTAGCCTCTGGGAATGTCTGTGAGGGGTTATCTTGATTGGTTGAGTTGGATAGACCCACCTTTAACATTTGGTACTATTTCCTGAGCTGGGATCCTGGGCTGAATAAAAAGTAGAAGCCTGGCTGACCATGGACATTGATCACTCTGCTTCTTGATTGTGGATGCAATGTGATCGGCTACCACAAGCTACTTTCACCATGGCTTTCAGGCTATGGTGGACTGTAACCTTGAATTACAAGCCAAAATAGACTCTCCCTGAAGTTGCTTTTTACTAGGTAGGTAATCAAGATCCCCTCCACTCCAAAGTTCACTTTGCCTTTGTGCCAGTCTCCCAGAGGGTGACCCTGCTTCATCTTCATCTCCCCAGCAGAGCCAGCAGATAGATCTTATCACCCTCTGCTCTAACTCTAGAGGATTTAGGATGTCAAAGCACACAGGGCCTCTGGTTGGGTTGGAAAATCTCTACTACCCATTGTCTTTGTTTGGCATCTCCAAATATGCCTTTCATTCTGGCCTCTAGCCTTCTATTGTCCCTTCTCTTATCAATGAATTGACTCCTCCTTCCAGGACTCTGGATCTGGGCAGGACACCCTGCTGGGCATTCCTGTGTAAACCTGTGGAATTCTGCCTATCTCCTGGACTAGGTTCCCTTTCTGGAGTCTCATTGTTTTTCCCCTGCCGTGTGCAATTAAGCAGTCCCTCTGCAAGGCCATTCTGTGCCTTGAAAGTGAAAAGGCACTTAATGGCAGGCATACAAACAGCATATGCAATATAAGCTATAGCCACCATTGTTGTCTTCTCTCTCCATAGGCTAGAAGGTCTCAGGGAATTCCTACATGTTCTGTGCATAGCTATTTCTTTGGGGACACAATGCAGTGGTATACCCAGAACTGTCAGCTGGAGGATTAAGAAAAGAATGAGGGACTGGCTCTTTGAGTATGCTTTGGTTTTCATGGTGCTGGGTGGGCATCCCTGAGATGCCTTCTTAAGGATTATGTCATTTATTTTGGACTAAAAAGGAAGAAGGAGAAGTTAGGCAGTTCTAGCCCAGGAGTGCCTATATCTGCTGGCTGGCTTAACATCATCAC